TACCAAAAGCTCGTGTGCCGCCATACGATCCCGATATATCGAAATTCTATGCCTCTTCTCGGTATTTGAACTTTCACCTTTTTGTTGCACCCTATTGCGTGCCGCAGACAACAACTTGTGCAACACCAAGTCATCTTTATCAGAGCTTTCATCATCGGATGAAGAAGAAACAATCGAACCCGCAAAATTATTCATATCTATGTTTGAAAGGGTGTTTGAAAGTGTGAATGGAAATGTGTTTGTTTATATGTTGTGTATGTATTTATATATGTGTATTAAGTTTTGTTTGAATATATTTTTTTTTATCTTGGTAACGGTCAAAAGAAAAGAAAGAAAAAGAAACGGTCAAAAAAATGGTCCACCAATCGCATTCGTCGTCTTCCTCCGTAGCCAGCTTCACGTCACAAGACACCTACCCCCCATTGGGGCGGTGTTCACGCGTGGCTAGAGCTGCCACGTAGGCAGCACGCGTAGCCTTCCTGGCTTGATACCGGATAGCCTTATGTTGGTGCATATCGATGTGTTTATATCTATCTTCGTAACCTCCATCTATATCCAAAGTGGAGACACTTGCGGAGATGGAAAAGTCGAATAAGCGGAGTAAAAGCTGTGTAAACTCCTAAAAATGCTACACGTAACAAAGAAACAAAGTTGTTAGGTCTGAAAGAAAGAAAAAATGAAGTCCAATACTTACTTTAGATAGTGACTACATCTATTAGGAAAAATATTGTTTTCACAGAGGGAATGGAAAACCCAATACCTGAACCAAGAATAATCATGAAGAACAGTAGGTGCGATAAAGCAGTAAAATCGATTCCAGGGTTACAGGGGGATCGTGGGTTTTGTTCTTTTAAATGAAAAATAATAAATCTGTGAGATAGGGGGTTAGATGGGATCAGAGGGAAACGAAGGCACGTGATGTGTCTTTAGGAAGTGGAGACACTGGTGGACAAAAGTAGAAGTTCCGGACCTTAAAACACAATTGTGTGGTGGTTGTGCCTGGTGATTGAAACCAAGGTGACTTGGTGGTGAGGCTATGCTTTCTAATGGAGCAGCGAGCATTGTGTGGGGAAGTTAGGGTTGCTGGAGGTGCGGTGATAGAAAGAAGACGCTGAAAAATGAAAGTTGCATAGAAGGAAGGAGATTAACATTGTGACATACCTTTGAAACAAATATCTGGATACAAACAGTGACAGATTTTCGTTTGGGGCTCTGAGGGTTTGATGAGTGGGGGTCTGTAATCGAACCTTTAAGTTAAGTTCAAACAATAGAAAACCTATAATCGAACCAAAAAAACTTAAAATCAAACATTGTATTCTTACAGATAGAAAACTTATAATTGAAGTTTTTCTATGAGATGACGAACATGTGAAAGGGGAAGTGGATAACAACTTAAAACAATCTGATCGCGAGATGGTGAAGTTGAGGAAACCAGCAATCGCCGATGACGATGTAAGGGTATGATGGTAGTGTTCATTGTGGGGGAGAAAGGGGAGAAGGGAAGATTTGTGGGTGGTGGTTGAGGCGGAGCAACAAACGACGACCTATCAGGATGCCATCGATTGGGGTTTTTTTAAAGATGATGTATCAATGGTTCTAAAGGTCGACATTAGGGTTTCTTGAGAGATCAATGCCATATAACATATAATACCGAGTTACAGGGGAAATGCCGAGATATGGGAAGGAGCCTGGTCAGATTAATATATTTTAAAATTATTTTATAGCTAATTGTTTGTACTTTCATCTTAAAAATTTAGACGTCTTAAAAAAATATTATATTATTATTTTATTCGATCTATTTTTAGAAAGGTGAGATTTACATTATAAGGTAGTATAGATATAAGCTAGTTCTTTCTTCTTTATCCCATACCAAATGAATAAGAGAGGGAGAGAGAGAAATATATATATATATATATATATATATATATATATATATATATATATATAGTGAGGAATAATGACTTGAGATAATAATATAAATTAAAGGGGTTAACTACACAACAAGTGAATGATTGAATCTAGAAAGTGTTGTAGAACTTGGAAAAGTATAACTTTGTCTCAGTTTCTTATAGAGTTTGAGTTAGGATTTGGTGTAATCACCAAATATGACATTCTAATTTTACGTGTGGATTTGTACATGTTTTGATGCTCTAAATTCGTTTTAGAACATCAAACAATCACCAATTCACCCTAGAAATGGTTGATCTGACTTTAAACAATAAACTTAGGTGTTGGAATCCTAGTTTGACGAAAAAGTAGTACATTTTCCGTTGAAGTATGTCCTTTTGTTCTAGAAGTGTTAATGAAGCCAAAATCATTATATTCATGTTAATTTATGTGAATATTAGTTCATAAATTGATTCTAGTTGTAATTCCATGTTTTCCTTTGAAGTTATGATTGTAATGGGTAGTTCTAATGGTGATTCACCATTAGAATGAAATAAGGTGGGTTTGTAACAAATTCATACTTTAAAACAATGATTTTAATTTGAAAATGAATTAAATGATGTGAATATATAATGCTTTTGAAGTGTAAAGGTTATTTTGAGGTTTTAAATGAATTTACAACTTCAATGAAAGGTTTGAAACATCATAATGATAATGTTGTACATGGAATTAGAATGAAATGAAAGGAATCATGACATATAATTAGAATTGAGATTGGTATGATGTATAATCATATGTTGAAAAGATCACTACCGACCATTTGGACATAATGAAGAAGTCTTAAAACGCTTTGACTTAAGGCTTAAAGTGAAAGAATAATGCCAACATGCGTTTTATCTTTAAATACATGGACGTTAAAATCGTTTGTGTGTTTGGTAATCAATGCTTTAAGTATCAAATGAACCAAAGAGTTATGTAAGGGTAATTTGGTAACTTTAAAACTTTATTCGTTATCAATGTGGTGATTAAAGGGCATGAATGAATTTTATTATACTACAAGTATTATGTGTGCATTGCATGAATTTTATTTTTGAAAGTTTTCAACTTATTCGGGAAGTTTTGTTGATTTGGAAGTCATTTGGCATCCTTATATGCACCCACGTAGGATGGAAGACCTTGGATGTCATTCATAATTTAACTTTGTTGCTTGAGTGATTAGATTTATAGATAACAATGACTATGTACAAACATGGTTAGCTACCCCCTTGTGTGGTGCACGTGTGATGGTTCACATGTCACCTAATTCGTAGTTGTTAGGCACTAAAAGGGTACGAGCTGAGCGATTCCACCATCATAGTGCGAAGCTTCCATGCTCGAGTCTATTTAACCATCTTGTGAGTTTGGAACTTTTAATAATGACTTGGGTATTAGGATATATACATATTATATTATTATCATTATTTGTTGATTGTATCTATTCCATTTTGTTTCGTTGTATTTGTTGGAAGTTTGTTGATCTTATTTTGCTAGCCATTTATGGCTTATTTGTTTATGTTAGGCCCACTATGGGTTAATAAACCCTTTTGTTCATGTGTTATGGATTCATATACCCCTCTTGATTGATTTTAGGTTTAAGCTCTCCTCATGTTGGTTTATTAAATCCCTCAGTAGCTTTTGTTGGTTTTGAATTGGTTTTAGAGGTTTGATTTGTGTGCAATGATTGTCATCATTACTTACTCAAAATGAATCAACCTTAGGTATTATCACCATGCATTCCACTGTCTAACTTATTTTGACATGTGCTCAAATTGAAAACTTAGGGATAATGAGTAGTAGTTGGCAAGGACATTAAGACAGTTAAGGCTTTTGTGGTTTCAATTAGATAACGTATGATGTTAATTGATCATAATTCGCTCTTTTAATTAAACTTGGTTTAGAATTCTGAATGTTTATTTTCTGTATTTTAAAACTCAAATTTTATTTTGGTTTAAAATTAAATGATTATAAAATGTGTATTTGAATTAGGGGTTGTTTGTTTGCCTCTTAATTGGGAAATTAAGAGGCATCCTCTTAAATTGTGACGCCCGTGTTTCTAGGCTAAGCATTAGTAAATGATGTAATAGTCAGGTCAACCATTGTAACCTATTTGACATAAAAAAAAAAGAATTATGTGAATATTATGTGTTTCATGATTATTATAATATAATAAAATATGAAAAATCAGCCGAGTCGTCCGTAAATCATAAAAATAAGTGCGCCAAAACATATATATATATATATATATATATATTATTAAATATTTAGAAAGTACATGTCTTCCCGATCCCGAAAATATAAATTTCGTCGAAATCTGAATCCATATGAATTAGATATGATTTTTATAAATTATAAAAGTCAGTCGCGCATAAGGAATGTGTGACGTAAAAAACTACGAAGAGAATGGTTGACTTTTAGCTAATGCGACCAAAAAGAAAATCATAGTACTCCTTAAAATAGGAATTTTGAGAAAAAGAATGCCAAAAACGGAGTACGTACGAGAGAGTTATGATTTTAGCAAAATCATTTAATTTTATAAAAATATGGACAAAAATATAAATTCA